TGTGTGTGTGTGTGTGTGTGTGTGTGTGTGTGTGTGTGTGTGTGTGTTAACAAGATATAAACAAGATAAAAACTTATTTCTCACATAGAGGAATTTAAAGGTCAGCAGCCCAGACATTGCATATTGACCCTACAGTATTAGGGGGCTGTGTTTGCCATTTTTAGCCTGCCTTCAATGTCAAGGTGGCTCTCTGATCACTGGCTGTCAGCTCTTATTTCTGTATGCCAGTTAGCAAGAAGGGTGAAGTTTGGAAGACAGCCCACTCCCTCTTTTTCAGGACGCTTCCTGAAAGTACATCCCATTGTCTACAACACAGCCACATGACCACACCTTGTTGCAAAGGAGTCTGAGAAGTAGAGTTTTTTATGTTAGGTGGCCAAGGGTCTAGCTAAAGTGGGAGGTTCAGTTAGCAGGAAGGAAGAAAGGGTAGAGATTGGGTGACAAACAGCAGACTCTGTCAAGAGACCCAAAATGTGCTAGTGAGAGAAATGTGAAGATGACATTCTTGAGTACCTGCTATTTGCCTGAAATCCTGTGAAGCATTTTACATTGTCAACTCATTTAACTGGGGATATTGAAATTCAGTGAGGTCTAGCTCCCCAAAGTCACACAGCTGGGATAAAAAGTCCTTCTCTGGTGAGGGAGCCTGGTATGATAGTCATATCATGGGCCTTGAGTTCAAGGAGACAGACCTGAGTTGAAACCTGTGCCTGTCATTTATCAACTACATAACCTTGGCCAGGTTATATGACATCCTCTGGGCTTCATTGTCCTCTTCCGTACAGGGGAAATAACAAAGTCTGTTCTTATAAAACAATTGTGAGTATGCCTTAACATAGTGATAGCAGTAATATTATTTGTAATAATAATAATACCTAATATTCATTGTGTTTTTTATCATAATTGATACTCCATACATGGTAATACCCTTCCCAATATGACTGTAACTTTTCTGTTTCCCCGATGGAGGCAACATATCAGAAATGATTTGTTTGTTTTAGTGCAAGGTGGTTTCTGATTTCATGGAGTGCTTCAGAAGCAAATTGTCTTAGTGGGATTATTCTCAGTCTCTTGGCCCCAAAGTCCGTCTATAGGGATAGGGGGATCTTTTGAAGTTTCTGCATTCTTTAGTATTTTAGAATCAGAAATACAATTTTAATGAGCTGAGCTCTTAGCTAGCCTGGTTTGTTAACTAGAACCAGTGGCCAAATTGCCTTAAAATTGTACTGCATTGTTAAATCATCCTCATTTTTTCCCTAGCATCTCATATGTGAAAAAGTATTACTTGTCTAATTTTATATTTGCAGATTTTTTTTAGAAGTTTGGTGAAAGGTATCCAATTAAAATAATTCAGCAGTGGTCTCTTTATTTCTTTTTTTCTTTTAGAAATGTGATGTGCTGTGGGAAGATTTTCATCAAAAACTTGTAGACGGGTCCTTGCTAACACTGGATACCTACCTGGGCCAATTTCCTGACATAAAGGTATTTTACTCTGTGTCTATAAAGGGAAGAATTGAGTGGCCTCATGTAGTTATTGAAACACGGGCAAGGAAAGAATTATTAAAAGTCCTCAAACTGACATCAAAGATAGTTGGTAACTTTTATTTAAGCATGGAATTTTTATATTGTTCCTATTAGAAAAGAAATGTCATTACAGAAATCACATTTCCTTTTTAGTGAACTGCTGCAGCTTTTATTTTTCCACAGAATTCTTTTTAAACCTATGGCTATAAAATCATAAACCAGAGCTGCCAAAAATTCCAATCTTTTTTATAATGAAAACTTTTTATTATATAGCATTTGAAAAGGATTTCCATTAGAATAACCAGTGGTCACAAGGAAGGGGGCAATATCATTGTAAATATGAGAGCAAAACCTGATCTTTCCTTTTAATGTATGCATTTATCACTAAAACTTTGAACTTAGTACTGCTTTTGCTGTATCGTATAGTCCTGGTATGCTTGTTTTTGTTTTCATTTGCACTGAGATACTTTTTAATATCCCTTTTGATATCTTCTTTGACACACTGGTTGTTCAAAATTGTGTTGTTTAATTTCCACACATTTGTGAGTTTTTCAGTTTTCTTTCTGCTGTTGATTTCTAGTTTTATTTTATTGTGGTTGGAAAAGATACTTGGTACAATTTCAGTCTTCTTAAATTTGTTAAGACTCGTTTTGTGAAGAATCTTCCATGTGCAACCTAAGAAGTGTGTGTTCTGCTCTTGTTGGATTGAATATCCTGTATGTCTGTTAGGTACATCTGGTCTGTAGTGTTGTTCAGGTATACTGTTCCTTTGTTGTTGTTCTGTCTATAATTGAAATTGTAATTGAAATTGTGCTTCTATCTGTAATTGAAAGTGGGGTATTAAGGTTTTATGTTATTATCATATTGCTATCTATTTCTTCAGTTTGTCAATGTTTGTTTTACATATATAGGTGCTTTATATTTATAATTGCTATATCTTCCTGAAGGATAGATCCTTTTATCATTACATGTCCTTCTGCTTCTCTTGTGAAAGTTTTGGAATTAAGGTTTATTTTTTCTGATAAGGACAGCCATCCCTAATCTTTTCTGGTTACCATTTGCATGGAATGTCTTTTTCCTTCTCTTTACTTTCAGGCTATGTGTGTCCTGTAATCTAAAGTGAGTCTCTTGTAGACAACAAATAGTTGGATCTTTTTTAAATTTAAATTCATTTAGCCACTCTATGTCTTTTGATTGGGAGTTTCATCAACTTACATTTAAAATAATTATTAATTAAAAAGAATTTACTGTTATCATTTTATTTATTGTTTTCTGTTTGTCTTATAGTTCATTTGTTCTTCTTTTCCTCTCTTGCTAATTTCTTTTGTATTTTGTTGTTTCTTTGTATTCATATGCTTTGATTTTTTTTTCTCTTACTTTTGTGTAACTTCCATATGTATTTTTGTGGTTATGATATAATTTTGATAAAATATTTTATAATTATAACAGCCTATTTTAAGCTAAAAACTAAATTAACATCAATCACCTATAAAAACTCTACACTTATTTTCACCACATATATACTTTGTGTTGTCAAAATTTGCATATATTTATATTGTATTTCCATAAATATATATTTTTAGTTATCGTTATGCTTATAGTATAGTTATGCTTATAGTATTTTTGTCTTTTGACTTTTATACTAGAATTAAAATTGATTTACCCACCACTGTTAAGGTAATACAATATTCTGTATTTGTCTATATATTTACATTTATCAACAAATCTTATAGTTTCTTATGCTATTGTTCACTGTTTAGTGTCCTTTCATTTCATGTTAAATAAATCTGTTTAGCATTTTTTGTAAGGTACATCTAATGGTGGTGACCTTCAGCTTTGGTTTGTCTAGCAGTATCTTTATCTTTTCTTTAAGAATATAAGAAACAAGTACCCACAGTTTTGTTTCTTTTTTTCTGTCAGCACTTTATATATGTCATCTGACTCCCTTCTGGCCTGCTTCTGCTAAAAATCCACTAATAGGATTACAGAGATTCCCTTGTATGTGAGCAAGTCACTTTTCTCTTGGTAATTTGAAATTTAATATTTGTCTTTTACCATTGATTATAATGTGTCTCTGTGTAAACTTTTTTGTTGTTGTTGAGTCAGAGTCTCACTCTCACCCAGGCTGGAGTGCAGTGTCATGATTTCGGCTTCCTTCAGCCTCCGCCTCCCAGGTTAAAGTGACTTTTCTGCCTCAGCCTCCCAAGTAGCTGGGACTACAGGCATGTGCCACCACGCCCAGTTGATTTTGTATTTTTAGCAGAGACAGGGTTTCACCATGTTGACCAGGCTGGTATCAAACTCTTGACCTTGTGTTCCGCCCATCTCAGCCTCCCAAAATGCTGGGATTACAGGTGTGAGCCACTGTGTCTGGCCCTCTGTGTTGACTTTGAGGGGTTTATTTTATTTGGAGTTTTTGGGCTTTCTGAATTCGAATGAACATTTTCTTTCCCAGACTTGGGAAGTTTTCAGCCATTATTTCTTTCAGTAGCTTTATGATTATTTCTGTTTTCTCCTTCTGGGACTCCCATAATGCATAAATTGGTCCATGTAATGGTGTCCCATAAATCCCTTAAGCTTTATTCTATATTTTTCATTGTTTTTCTTTGTGTTCCCCTGACATTCTTAATGACCTATCTGAGTTTATTGATCCTTTTTTCTGCTTGATCTAATCTTCTCTTGAACCCCCCAGTGAATTTTTTAGTTCAATTATTGTATTTTTCAGTTCTATCATTTCTGTTTGATACTTTCTTTATCATTTTGTTTAATTTCTCACTTTGTGTATACATTATTCTGATCTGAGTGACAGTTACTTTGAATTCTCTGTCAGGCACATCATATATCTCCATTTTATTAGGGTTAATATTTGTAGATTTATTTTGTTTCTTTGTTTGAAACATATTTCCCTGTTTTTTAGTTTACCTTGGTTCTCTGTGTTGATATCTTCACATTAGACAAAACAATAACCTCTTTTAGTCTTTGTGGACTAGCTCCACATAGGAGAAGACCTTCACCAATCATCCCAGTCATGGGTTTTGGAAGCCTCTAAAACTTTTGACTATCCTGACTGCTTTCTTTGTTCTTAGCAACCCCTAGGCATCTAGAGGATGCTAGGTCATTTCAGTGCTCCGAGACAAGCAAGACTCATTTTCTGTGGAAGCCATTTTCTTGGGAAGCACCCAAAAGTTGTATCATTGGATACTTGTTTAATTATTTCCCTGAATAGAGAGAAGTAGTGACCTGAGTGCTTTTTATTTTATTTTATTTTATTTTATTTTATTTTTGCCTCAGTTGAGGGGAGGGTCTGTGGCAACTAGTTGTATGGTAGGCCATGCTACCTGGAAGTTTGTTTTTATTTGTTTGTTTCCTCCTGCTTGCTCCACACTGAGGCACGGAGAGGAGCTGTGCAAAGTGCCTGCATGCGTGTTCAAACCTCTGTTTATTCTCTGTATACCCCAAGGTCTAATGTGTGCTAGACCTGTCAGCTATCCAAGACAGGTAAGATAGAAGACACTCCCTTGGATAGAAGCCAGAAACGTTGGTTTGTTAGATGTGCAGTCCTACTTCTTCACTCTTCACTCAGAAGCAGGAAGCTGGAGGTTCCCTCTTGATTATATGGCACTGTGCTAGGGATAGCAAGAAGGTATCTCCCCTTTTCCTGCTTCTTTCAATGTAGCTGTAGTTGCCCTTGCGAAGGGTTCAGGAGCCATTCAACTAGTTTTTGCATTTCTCACACACAAAAAATTGATTCATGTGTTGGTGTTAAATCTGTGTGTCTGTGGGGAAGGAGAGTTCAGAGCCTCCTATTCTTCCCCCTTGCTACCATCACCTTTATTGCATAGTAATTTAATCTCCTTAAAAGCAATACTTAATAAATCAGAAGAGGTTAAGGAAAAATTATGTCCCCTTACCTGAAAATTCTAAAGCAGCTTACAGCTTGTCCAAATTATTCATATGATATGTGTTCATAGTATGACTTAGCTAACCAAATAAAGGCTGTGACTGACTAGAGAAGCAAACATCTGAAAGCTTTTTTTGAGTTTCAGGAACAAAAGCTTAGTATCATTAATAAAATGGGAAGATCTTAGTTATTGTACTGTACTTAGAAATTGGGCACACTGTCCAAGAGCATGTAATTTCAGAATACAAGCACATACAGAATTACGTTTATTGAAACACAGAAAGATTAAAATAAAATTATGACAGATTATATTGGCTGGTCTTTTACACAGTTTATTCCATGTCAGAAAGATAAAGGACTCAATATAACTTTTCCTTAAGCATTTCTTTTTTGGAAGTCCATGGTTGAGATCACATAAAAAGATGATCCTGCAGTTTCTGAACCATCTAGAGATTTGGAAACAATATCATCTAGATCCTTTGCTGGATGCCCTGAGGGTAAGGTAAATATATGTTAAGGTTTTATATGTATCATGGAAAGAGGCTGAATCTCTCTCTCTCTGAAGCCATATTTAGGAAACTGGAGCATACACAGAGGCTATCAACCAAGATAGGTAATTGTGAAGCCATATAACACAACAAACAGTTCAGGAAATAGCAATGCTATTAACTTGGAAAGGCGATAATTTGGAATTGGAGAGTGAGCAGATGACTGCATTTGATATTTGAAAGTTGTTTTTCCGTGAATATGAACTTAAGTTATTTTCTGTGAGCCTTTACTCAGTGAATGGAAGTTAGAAGTAGGTATAGACTCCATCACTTTATAAAAATAGTGGTGAGTGATTATGTAATGAATAAGTTATTGATGGAAAGGAAGATTATGATTAAAAATACTCAGTGTAGAATTTTTAAAGCATGAAACACAGTTGACTTCTTGACTCCCATTGAAATCAACAGGCCATGTGCAGTTAAAAACCTCAGGCAAATTTCCAAATATTTACTTGAGCCCATCAGTAAGGGCTGTGAAATACCATTCATGAGGGGATGATGTTTAGCTTTTCCAGCTGTGATTGGCAGGATACCCTGTGTTATAGTTTCTGTTATGCATCATTGACATCTGAAATCAATGTTATAATAAGAGCCTGCTTGTCACCAACCCAGGCAGGCTTACGGCTGTGAGCAGTTATTGTAAAATATAGTTTGGATTCTATCTTGGCTGCCATGCATGAGCAACTAAGCATGTATTTACTACAATGTACCAAAATGAATTCCAAATTGAGATTATTACAGAATTTTTAAAAATGTGTAATAAATCATTTTTTAACTGTAGAGGTTCAGTGCACAATGAGAAGCCTCAAGAATTTCTTTTTTCAAGAAATGTTAGTTAAATTTGTAATGTAATTTAAATTTCCTATTGGATGATTAAACAAGAATTATATAATTTTCTATAAAAAAGCTAATTGTCAACCTTACCCTTATTTAGGAAATTTGAGTTTTTCCCTTCAAGTTTCCCAATTATCAGATAGGTAAGGAAATAAGATTGATTTGTCTTTTTTAACCCTAAAATGTATGCATCAGAATGAGTGTTATTCTTCAAAATAGTCATTTCTGCTATGGTAAGCTATCATTTATAATTGACTTAAAAATTACATAAGAAAATGAGCAAGCCAGATGCAGTGGCTCATGCCTGTAATCCCAGGACTTTTGGAGGCCACGGCAGGTGGATCACCTGAGATCAGGAGTTTGAGACCAACCTGGCCAACGTGGCAAAACCTTGTCTCTACTAATAATGCAAACAAAAAATTAGCTGGGCATGGTGGTGCATGCCTGTAATCCCAGCTACTCTGGAGGCTGAGGCAGGAAATTGCTTGAACCCAGGAGGCAGAGGTTGAAGTGAGCCAAGACTGTGCCATTTCACTCTAGCCTGGGTGACAAGAACGTGAAACTCCCTCCCCCCCAAAAAAGAAAAGAAACAAAGAAAATTAGTCAAATTATTTACTTCATTTCCTATTTTTGAACAAAACTAAGATTACCCAGTTACCCGGTACATTCTCCCACTTTATTCTAAGCCTTAAAATATATTGAATTATAGCTGCTTTCAAAAATCAAATTCATCTTCAGAGAATCAAGATTTTCCATTGGAAGATTTATTAAAGGAATGTCCCAGGCTAGAAGGCAAGTCCCTAAGGAAGAGCTTTTTATAAGAGTTTGCATGTAGTTACACAGGCCACTGCTTCAAGCGATAGGCCTTTTTTTGAAGGTAACAGATTTTTGCCAAAAATAATGAGTCTTGTCACTTTATAGGCACATAGTGTTCACTGTATCTAATTGAAGGTTTTCACTCTACTCTGCCTGGGCTAACTCGTTGGATACTTTGAGTGACTAGGTGTGTGTCTCCATGCTTTCTGCCCATATACTAGTTGGAAGTGGTCAGTGCAGGGAAAATGAAAGCAATTAGAAATAGCCAAAGAGTTTAACTATCCCAACCCACCTCTCACCAGTCCTAATGGGCATGCAGAAGAATAGCATAGAGTGACAGGTTGTAGTTGACTCATAAAGTCTGTCAGAGAAACAGCAAGAGCTGTTTGGAAGGAGCACTAACCAAGACTCAGAAGCAGGGATGGAATTGGGTGAGGCCAGCAAAGAACCCATGGTACAAATTAGGAGGCAGCTGCTAACCCTGCACTCACATGACCCTGAGAGTAAGAGGCCGTCTTAAATTTTGTGCCCTATCTCACCTGCCTTACCCTACTCCTGGCGCTGGTCACTGGGGCTAATTTCTAATTCAGTTCACTTTTGCCACAGACTTGCTGAGCAATTTGGGAGAAGTTAGTGGCAATCTCATCCAGCTCCACATTTCCTAAAAGTAAAATGGAGATAATCCCTGAAACATTCATTCTATAGGTTGCTGGAAGGATCCACTGGATGTGACAATGCCTTGTAAGCCATAGTCATTTATATTATTGTTTTGTTTCTTCTTCTTTCTACCATATAAAATTTTGCAGTTTTTAAAGCACCTCCTCCTGGATTAGTTCTTATTATTCAAATAGCTGGGCATAACTGGAATTATAGGGAAGATTTTTTTTTAAAAAGTGTAGATACCTAGGCCTTGCCTCAGACTACTTAAATCAGAATCTCTTAGTGTGGGTCTCAGGAATCAGTATATTTTATACTATTTCCTTATTAATTATACTTATTTTTACATTTTCTGATTTATTTGATGTATAATTTATTTAATTGATATATAGTAATTGTTTATATTTATGGGGCACATAGATACTTCTTTATTAACTTATTTCTTAGTTGCTGCCTTACAATGTATAATATACATCTTTAACATATTAGGCCTAACTTGAAATAATGTGTACTACTTTATGTATTATTTAAGAACCGTACAGCAATATACTTTCAGTTCCTATCTTCTTTTGCACCATAACATAAAAATGTAATTTTTCTTTTACATATGTTATAAACCCCACAATACATTAGTTGTGGTTTTTTCCTCGGAATGATCTGTTACCTTCCCAAGCAATTAAAAGTAGGAAAACAAAATCTTGTATATTTTACATTGATTTTTATCATTTCTGGTACTCATTTTTCTGTGTAGCTCCATTTCATATTAAAATTCTTATGCTGTCAGTGAATTCCCTCAGCCTTTATTTGTCTGAAAAAAACACTTTATTTCACCTTCACCTTTGTAAGATATTTTCACTGGGTGTGGAATTCTGAGTTGGCAGATTTCTTTTAATTTTTATTTTTCAGTACTGTAAATATGTCATCCAGTGTGTTCTGGCTTGTGTGGTTTCTGAAGATTAGTATCCTGTAATTCTTACCTTTTTACTTTTTCTTTTATTCTTGATGTTAAGCAGTCTATCATGTTTTTAGATGTGTATTGTTTAATATTTTTCCTTTTTGGGATTCTCTGAGTTTCTTGCATCTAAACTTTGATGTCTTCATTATTTAAAAATATTTTCAGCCATTATCTCTTGAAATCTTGCTTCTTATTTTCTCATTTCCTTTGAGACTTCAATTACAGTGTGTTAGACCATTTTACATTGCACTGTAGGTCTTAGATACTCAATTATCTGTTTTTTTTTTTTTTCTACAATTCTTTTCTCTTGTGTTTTAACGGGAATAATTTATTGTGACCTATCTTCAAGTGCACTATTTATTTCCTCAGCTTTTTTGAGTTTAGTGATGGGTCCACTGAATCAGTTTATCTCTAAGATCATCTTAAAATTTCTAGTGTTTCCATTTGATTTCTATTTTTCCATTAAAGTTTCTATATCTCTGCTGAAATTCACCATCTGGTTATGTATACTGTTGACTTTTTCAAATTAGATACTTTAACATATTAGTCATAGTTATTTTGAAATTTCTATTTGTTACTTCCAACATTTGGGTCATGTCCAAGTCTGTCTTTGTTGTTTGCTTTATCTTTTCTCATGGGTTTGTGTATTTTGTTTTTTTGTGTGTGTGTATTTTTTTTGGTTTATTTTGTTTTTGTGTATTTTGTAACTTTTGATTGAATGCCAGACATCATGTATAGGATAGTGAGGACTGAAATAATATTTATGTCTGGAAATTGGCCAGGCTTTTTTTCAGGCCATTAATGTGAGAGTTAGAATCCATTAATCAGAACCTGAGCTGAACTTGGGCTTTATTGTTGCTATTTGTTACTTCATTGCATCACAGCTTTCAAATGCCTCCAGAATTGGACTGCTAATGCCTTGTACTTATGTTTTAACATCTGTACAATTTTCAGATTCTTAGGCTGAAGCCTTGTTTTGGGGCCCTTAGGTGTTGGAGGGTTTTTCTCAGTGTTGCTGCTGCTTATTAGATTTTAGTTGTTTTTGTATGCCTGTGTTGCTGAAGGGATCTCTCTCCTTGCACTGTCCTCTTCCAGTGGTAGGCCACTATTGCTTGTTTTTTAGTGTTAGGCTTGTGGTGGAGTTAGGGCTGTTTTTGCTATTGTTGTTGTTTTGTTTTTAAATCCTTTCCTGGCCTTGTATTAGGCAAAGTCAGCCTCATGTCTATGGTTGATCTTGAGCAAGAGTTTCCATCCCTGTCCAAGTTTGAACAGTCCATTACTTGTTATAGGAGACAGGTCTTCAGCATGGGAAGCTTTTATGCCGCTTGAGACTATCTTTTACCCTTTTGCCTACAGTAATTATTTTTGCCTAAAATCTAAAGGTCAGAAGGCTCTCTGTCTCTCTACCAGAGCCACATTGGTTTTACTGCTCCTTCAGAAGCAGTAGATCTTTGCTTGTCACCTGTGGGCAAGCTCCTCCTCTGGCAGCGTAAAGCTTTGTTGTTGTTTGTGGTTGTTAAGAGAAAATGTTCCATGGAAATGAGAGGGGCTTTATGCCTATCCCCTGGCAGCCATATATCACCTCATTCTCATCTGCACTGCAAGGGAATGTCTTGTTCCTAGACTTTCTCATGGCTTCCAGTGTTGACCCATGGGAAAAGGCTTGCCCATTAGCACAATCACCTCTGTGTCTTTGGCTACTAGCTATTCCAAATGACACATTAGTCCAAGTGATTCTAATGAACAAAGGATTGAGAAGCACTTATAGAAGAGAATTCTTAGGGAGTAAATGTGTTTTTATAGAATTGCTGTTGGTGTGTTATTAGAATTATAAAACTGAATGTAACATTGTTTCCCACTATCTTCGGAATAGAACATTTAAAGATTTAGAGTAGAGAATAATGAGGAGTGTAGTTTTTCCTTCTCTCCCTAATTCTGGAATTTTTCTGGTCTTTGACTGCAAACTATTCCCTCAACTCCTCTTGACTAATCTAATTAGTATCAAAAGGGAAGATATTTATCTAATGGCTTCCACACAAAGGATTGGAGGCTGTCCTCTGATTTTCAGGGATCACTTAGCTACTGAAATTCCAGCTCACCTTGAGCATCTCCAGTCAAGATCCTCAGCAGCTCTGGGCAAGGAAAGCATTTTGGCATCTGGATGTCAAAGGGAGACTCTATGGCTATGCTTCTTTTTTAGTGCTTGCATTTCCTGTTGACAGAATCGCATCGCCAAGCGTAGCAGGAAGCTTGTGGACTACGACAGTGCCCGCCACCATCTGGAAGCTCTGCAGAGCTCCAAGAGGAAGGATGAGAGTCGAATCTCTAAGGTAGGGATTGACTCCATGGTGAATACCACTCACCATATTTTATGATCTGTTGCTCTTTGCTTTTTAAAATTGTTTCCTCTGCAAAAGGAGATTGGAATCTGAACAGAATTTAAACTGAAACATAGTGCTTTTTATTATTTTTAATTAAAATAATGTGTTTCATGATATTGTACAGTTCATATGGTGACACTGACTCATACATTTTCATCAGAATGAACTTTGACCTACAATGTTGCAGAATCAAAGAAAATAGTGTGTTTGCACTTCCTTAGGTGGTTGTGGTCCACCATCAGTGCTGAAACGCAGATGCAGATGGGACACCAAGTTGAAATTCTCAGAGGTGACTTTTGATTGTCTGAGAGTACAGATGTATATATTTGCATAAAAGTAATTTTTTGTTAGAAAACTTATTTTTAGTAGCTTTCACCATGTATGTCAGCAAGTTACAGATGTTGACTAACTGAAGTCACTTCCTAACTATGCCCTCTTCTTCTGATCTTGCCTTTTCCTCTGTGCCTACCCACAGCTTCCTGAATGGTCTTCTGCATCTAGCTATGTTTCTTGACTGCTTAAATCTTTTAATGGTTTCTATTGCCTCTGCAAAAAATACTAAATTTGTTAGTATAGCACAGAAGACCCTCACAATCTGGCTGTAACTCACCTGTTACACAATTTGGCTGTAACCCACCTCACCCATCCTGATCAACTTTCAAGTCTCTTTTCCCTTCCTCACCTTCTTCTATAAACATAGCATAAGCCAGAGCTACGTATCAGTTTCTGAGCAGGTCACAATAACAAATGCCCTTCATGAGAGGCCTCCTAGATACCAGGCACCCTCCCTGTTCAACACTTCATCTACATTAACTTTCCTTAATACTCCAAACTGTGAGGTACACAGAGGTAAAGCAGTCTGACAGGTTTACATGGTAAGCTAGAATTCCATTTCAAGGCATTTCACCTTGGTGTATTGTAATGTATTTCCTACCCTCTCTTTTAGCAAACATTTTCTAAGTCTTTAGGATTCAGTTAAAATATTACCTTCTCTCTTCTCTGCACCACCTTCCATATAGCATGCTCTGTAACACATTGTAAGTCCCCTTTGTAAATACATCCTGTAATATAATTATTTAGACTTTCCAATAGACTGGAAATTTCCCAGGCATGCGTTCATGTTCAGTATCCATAGCAGAGCTGTCTACATGGCAGGCAGCTAACATATTTTTGTAGAATAAATGAATCAGCCAAAAGCTGCAAGAGCAACCATTGTAATCAATCCAGTTTCCAGTTTTAGGGAGTCCTAGTGTTTCTTGTTTGAAAAACAAGGGTACAATTTTAACCAAATACTCTCCTTCTCAAAATGTTTTCAAGATGCCATAAACTATTCTCATTTTATATTAAATGGTGCTGTTGTGTATAAAAATGGTCTTTCTTAGTGTAAATACATGTCATGTTTCATTTCTAGGCAGAAGAGGAATTTCAGAAAGCACAGAAAGTGTTTGAAGAGTTTAATGTTGACTTACAAGAAGAGTTACCATCATTATGGTCAAGGTAAAAATGTTTCTTTACAGATTGCACATGTTGCTTTTAGAAATTCAAGATCAGTGAACATCCCTTATCTTGTCTTTATTATCTGTGACACTTCAACACTGTCCAATGGAAGTGTTCTTTATCTGTACTTTATAGTATGGTACCTACTTGTTGCCTGTGGCTATTGATCACTTGGAATATGGCCAGGATGAAAAGGGAAGAACTAAATTTTAAACTTAATTTGTTTTGTTTTAATTTCTTTATATTTAAATAACCACATGTGACTAGCAGCTGCCATATAGGATGGCACAATTTTAGATCTTAATCTATTTCTCAAGTGGAGACCTAAATCTCAGTTAGAGACATTAGGAGGACTGCCCTTCATCTTGAAACTTACAATAATATCCTTTCAGCTCTTGCAGAAACTTCCTTTATTCCAACAGCTCATCTAGTCATCTGGCTTAAATGATAAGCCTCTACTTTCAGCCCTGACTTTTAAATCTGAACTCAGTTCCTATTTTAGGCACTAGACATTCTTCTTATTTATATGTAATTCTGCATTTCTCATGGAATTAAGTGTATTTTTAAATAGTTGTTCTATTTTTCCTACTCAGTGGTAGAACAAAGAAGTTGTTGGATGAAGTAGGACCTTATGAGTCTCAATCTCTATCAGCATCCTCATGCTCTCACCCCAAATTCACCAGAATTGTACTTAAAATAATATGACATTATTTTAAATCAGGTCCTCTATTTCTAACTTCCAACTAGATGGATTTGCCTTTAAAGCCTTCCTATATACAAATTCTAGAGCTTCTATTTACCCACCAAAATTGCAAATGTTTGGAGGGTCTATGCTAGAGTTTGCCCATTTTTGTGTCCATCTCTAGTGTTTTTAATTTTTGCCAATAAAAGGCACTCAGTGTTTCTCTCTGAACTACTGAAATATCTGGATGAAATGTTGGCTACTTTTTAACCTCAATGTCCAGCCATCACCCAAAGTCTAACATGCAAAATTATGTCATTGCTTATCTCAATTTACTTATTTTCTCTACGTCTGCATTTCTCTTTTTTTGGTGCCACTATTTCTGGACTCCCAAGGCTCAAATCTTTGGAATTGTTACCTACAGGAAACCAAAGAGCCATCAAATTAAACAATCCATCACTTTTTGGTGTGGGCTTCTGGATTGCTCCATCCTTCTCTGGTCCCACTACCCCCACCCTAAACCTCATCATCCTGTTGTGGATTATGATGGTAGTCTTGCCTTTACATTTCTTTCTTTGACCTCTCCCTGAACACCTTTTCTTTCAGAAGCTCTACGTTGATATCTCTGTGGCCTGCTTAGAACCTCACTGTTTGTGCCTAAAGAAGACCTCTTTTCTCTCCCAGAGAGGATTAAAATAGCCTTAATATATATAACTTTTAGGGATAGAGATAAAACAAACATCTATTTATGATTTGAATTTATTTAGTTATTAACATTTATTTAAAACCACAAATTATATGATGCTATGGGTTTTTAAAAGAAATGCAGATACTACTTTCTTTTTTGCTCTCACATTTCATGGAATACTTTTATCTAAAATCTTTACATATATATTTAGCATCAGTGTTTTTGTCCTCACTTGAGATACTCATCACCTCAACCAGTGGTTCTCCAGAGCTTATGATCATCTTCAACAGATATTTAATTCCAAATATAAGTTGTCATTTACATACAATTAAGAAAGTTATTCTTTTTATTTCCCTTGTAAAGGCATTTTTTTATGATCTCTAATGTAACTGCTTAATTATAAATTGATCTTCAAAAAGGCTTGGGTACTACAGTGTTCAAGGCTTTCAATTATGAAATAATACCCCTGGGAAACTGCCAGTTGCCAATTATGAAACTTTGGGGAAATTGCCAGAATTGCCAAGAGACACATTTATTATTTGCCTTAATGTTTATTGTGTATATAACTAAGTTTTTTCTAGTGAGTTCTACTAAGCATCTAAAACTAGCATTGATGTTATTTCAGGCTTTTGTGCCCTTCCTACATTGTATTTTGTTATTCAAAATAAAATAAAGCAATTGTTAGAATATCTTGTAACATGAAAGACTTTGTAGGAACTTAAAAACAGGGAATATTTGAGGGATAATTTTGGAAAGAAACCTTTCCCCTTTTCTAGTCATACACAGTATAAGTGTTTCACTGCTTTTGAAATCAATCTAATGTCTCATTCTGGCACTTAGGAAATAACATCAGTCAAAACTAGTTTTTCAATCCAGATCCCGCCTTTTCATTAAAACCTGACTTATGCCTTCCTTTCTATGTAGCATGTTTCTTGAAATCCAGATTACTCAACCATAATAATTGTGTGCATCGTGTGTGCTATACATGAAAGATCATTTTTTTTGGGAATACTTTCTATTTGCTAGGTGTCATTTTACATACTTTAAATATATAACCTCTAATTATTACAATTACAGATCTCTCCATTTTACAGATGCGAAGCTAAAGATCATATTAATTAAATACCTTGCCTAAGACTGTTAAGCTTGTAAACCGTCAAGGTAGCATTTAAAAACACTTGGGTGTTTTGTTTTGTTTTCCTGTAAATCCTGCTGCTTTTTTCTAGGGCCCCCTCTTTATTTAAAATGAGACTGTATGCAGTCATAATTTTTCAGGTTATTTCATGAATATATATATTTTTAAGAAGCCATATTACTCTGCCTTGAAATTGAAGTTAGTATTTTGTATCTTCTTTACCTTCTATGATGCAATGCATAATACTGGGCATGCAGTAATAAACATATTACATCTTAGTTATTAATACATGAAATCCTGCATCAAACTATTCATAATCACTCAGAATGTTGAGTGGACTATTCCATATATGCTTGTTAGGTTTGGGTAGACTATATGTTGTTCAAGTTTTTTATTTCCTTACTATCTTCTGCCTTGTTGAAAGGGAGATATTGAAGTTTCCTACCATTATTGGGCTTATTTCAGTCTTCATTTCTGTGAGCTTTTGCTTCATGTATGTTAGGGTTCTATTGTTAGGTGTGTGTGTATATATATATGTATATGTATATATATATATATATATATGTATGTATATATATATATGTATGTTTATAATTGGTATATATTCTTGATGGATTGACTATTTTATCTTTATAAACTGTCCTTCTTTGTCTCTAATAATTTTGTCTGTTTGTCTGATATTACTATAGCCATTCAAGCTCTCTTTTCATTATTCTTTGCATGGAATATTTTTTTTTTCCATTTTTAAACTTTCTACCTTGAATCTAAAGTGTGTCTCTTGTAAACAGTATTTAGTTGGATAATTTGTGTGTTCACACTTGTGTGTGTGTTATCTATTCTGCCAGCCAGTGCCTTTTGATTGCTGTGCTCAGTCCATTTACCTTTATATAATTACCAATAATGTAGGCTTTCTGTCTACTGTTTTGCTAATTGCTTTGTGTGCTTTACATCTTTTTTGTTTCTCTATTCCTCTATTACTGCCATGTGTAGAAAACTTTCAAAATTTTGCATTTAAACTGATCTTCAAAAATTAGTAGTTGATGAAGTAGAAATGAACTATTACTTAGATGGGAATGCAGGTTGAATTTTTAAAAAGGAAATACTAGAATATGATTGCATCTTTTAAAGGAGCTTATAGATTATATAGATAAAGATGATAAACTGGTATCACAAAGAAAAAAGGACTCTAAGGAGAATTCTTGAGGTAAATCTTATAAAATAAGTAAAGACAGCATTTAGTGAAAGGATAGTCGAGGCTGACATAGAGCATGAATAAAGGCCTGTGGATTGAAGCAGATATGTGGGTTCATGGAACTTTAATTAGTCTAATGTAGCTCAAGGTCAGAGTGATAGTGTCTGGGAAGGGCTGGTAGTGATGAAGCAGGAGAAAGACAGAGAGCAGATAAATTTATCATTCATTCAGCAAATATTTACTGACCACCTACTGTGTGTGAAGAACTCTGTTATATGCTAAAGATCTTGTGCTGAAAGTTTTGTTTGCTTTATTGAAGGACAGGGTAAGGCAGTGACTTTTAGAAGAAATGAAAAATAAGATATCAGACAGTAAGTTCAATGCAGAATTATTTTTTTAGAAAAGAATAATTTAGTCGAGAGTGACATGAGATGGGGTAACTCAGACTGCTGTTTGAATGTTTAGGGAAGTCATCTCTCAAAGAGATAGATAATATATAAAGAAAAGGAAGTTTTGGGAAAATTGAGTCTGGCTGATATATGCTGAGTTGAAGAATCATTAGGAAATCCAAAACATATGTCTATTAAGCTAAGTCTAAAGCTTGAAGAGAGAGTTGGGAGTCATTACCATATGTGTGGTAATGATGCCATGGGAGTTGATGAGGTAGATGGTCAGATAGATCAAATGGCAAGATGAGGATCAAAGGTAGAACCTTTGAGAGTGCCATTATTTTATGGAAATTGCAAAAGAAGAGGGGACTGTGGAAGAGCCTTCAAAAAATTAATCGGAATTGTAGAAGGAGCCATGACAGAGTGACATCTCAAAGGCAGAAATGGAGAGAGTTTTTAAAATGCCAGAACTGTTATTTACAATAGAGGCACCAAGCAGGTGAGGATTAAAGAGGCATCACCGTTGGTAAACTTCCAGAAAAGTTTCAGTAGATGTTGGGGTCAGAAGCTTGATTATGGGCATTGGAGACTCCATTGGAGATGAGGAAGCAGCAGCAGGCGATGGTGTCTGTTATTTTGAGGATTCTAACTATGATGGGCCTGAGGAATTGTGGCAGCAGGTATAGGGAAATTATAGGGCAAGGGACGCTTTTTAAAAATAACTCTTGTCATTTTGAGAAGATGGCATAGCTGTGACAAAGGTGGAATAATTTAGGACCAAGGATATGTGGGGCAAACAGGGGGTCAGGACAAGGAGAAAGGGTGTTGATAGGACTGGTCAGAGAGTGTTGAGGGGCACACCAAAGGGCCCAAGTTTGATAAAATAGGATGCTCAAACTGAGGAAGGGTGTTGGCATGAAAGAAAAGGGCATTGATCTTACGGAAGTTTTAAAAAAGCAGGTGGAATGGAAATGAATGAATGAGGGAGCTCGTGGGCTAGGAAATTAGGTTAGTGGATGGGCCACTGGTCTGCCTCATCTCAGACGTGAAATAGTTGTGAGTCATGGCAAGATCTGAGATGTCAATGGCCAATGCAGAATGTGTACAAATAGGATGCCAGGGTCACTCATTAGAGGGCTCATGTTTTGGCTGGATGGTAATATGGTTGTTGAGATCTACAGTGTTAGTGTTAGGATTTGGTGAGGGAGAGAGGGGAACCCATGAGGCATGCCATTGTGGATCATGGTTGGGGTTGAGGAGTGTTGCTCAGAGGTTTATATTAAGGTTTGAAGAGGTTGAAAATCAGTGCCATTAATAGCAGAATGGAGTGTAAATGAGCTCAGAGGATTGAAAGAGAGCTAGGAAAAAACTCTTCCTCATGCCCCATCTCGATGGTAAGTGAGGGACAGCAGGGGATGCTTCCTCCACTCCAAGAGGCTCTGGGGGAAGCACTGATACCCCTCTGGGGAGACAGATTTCCTTAGGGCATTGTGGAGGGGAGAGTGCTCAAACCTGCAAACTGTAGCTGTGATAAGCTCAACTATTAATTTTGCCTTCATTTCTGAGAACAATGAATCATCTTAATTAAGAAATTAAGTTAGCTTTGACAGCCAGTCAGAAGGGGCCTGAGGATGCCATATTTGGGGAAATGGTGATATCTCAGAGACTCTTGTTACAAAGAACTTTCAAAATGAAACTTTTAAGCAGGTAATATCACAATCAAGAGCCTGGTACTCTGTGTCTGTATATTCTACTGCTGATGACATTAGTTTTTTACAAGCCAGGGTCACATCGGAATATGCTCTCATAGTGGAATGAGTGCCAAGTTTCTTCATTCACTGGCTTGTTTATTCATTTATGGAATTTATTAATTTGTTCATGCCTGCCATATACTAGGTGCTGTGGCTGTCATAGTGAACGAGTTAAAGGCATCCCCCTCTTTGCAGGGTCGACTTCATAAACTGGAGAAAATCACTGAGTTGTTGTTAGGCCTCTGAGTCCATTCAGTGCACACATTTTAACAATTGTATCAAAAATGTTGGACATTTTATCCTAATTAAATACATGCTAGTTAATTTAAGTTCTAAATTAAAAAACAAAATATCATAAAAGTATAGATGTTTGTTTAGGTATTCTAAATAAGATATTTCTGATACTATACCAGTTTCTCAGGATAATAATTGATTTGACAACTTAAGATATGCTATATATCAGAAAAAAGAAATGTGGAAGAATGGGACTTCTTTTTTGTTTTTGCTTAATGCATTCAAAGTTCAATATGTTTAATAGAAGTACCATTACATATTGAAAAGAAAAGCAATACTAAGAAAAACCAAAAAATTTGAATGATGATTTACAAAAAAAGGAATGCAAATGAGCTATAAATAAATGAATAAAAAATGTTAACTTTAATTAAGGAAATGTAAACTTAAAAGTCAGTGAGATGCTAACTCTTGGCTATCATATTTACAAAGGTTGTATGTAAGGTGATGTTCAATTATCTTGTATATAAGGTAATATTTAAGGGACCATAAGTGGCCCAGCCTGGTGGGAACAGTTAAGCAGTTTGACAGTGAACATCAATGTTTATTTGGTTCATTCCTTTTATCAGTAAATACCTTTAAGAAATCTGTTCTGAGGAAATGATTAAGCTGTGTACAATACCTTAATCATAGATATTCATTAGGGTTTTATTTAGCATAGAAAAATTAATGAGAAGAAAATAATATTCTCCAGTGAAGTTGAACTTACACATCTCTTCCATCTGTACCCACCTTCTATTTAAATTGGACCCCTCTTTCTGCAGCCCAAGTTTGTCCTCTTAAGCCAATGTTTGCAGCTGGCACAGGGCCCATTGCTCTCCTGTCCTCTCAGTTTCTGTAACTGTTTCTGCCCATATCCACTCACTTTTCATATTTCATCAGTATATGCCTTTTTGTGGTAACTTAACTTGCCCATGTGGTTTTATTTCTTATATATATTTAATCTGCTTATTTATCATATGTATTTATCCTACATAAACATATACATTTCTCTTAATATAAATATATATTTCCATCCTAAGTATCAATAGAGCATATATTCATCAATCAGCCTCTCTGGGTGCTTCTCTAACTGGATTGTACATTCCTAGAGACATATTCACCCACCACTATGCATGTACCCAGAGTTTGATAGGTCCTTTGTTTGTTGAGGAATTGAAGAAAGAAAGGTATTAAGACTTACTGTCCCAGTTGATTGGGGCTCTAGAGAAGGGGTCATAAGTTGCCACTCAAAGTGCTCCAGAGGACTTCTCTGCAAACGCTGCATGTGGGGTCTCTCTGCATAATGTCAGGTAGCCGGTAGGGTCTCCCCTTGGTCATCCAGCTGCTGCCTTAATTAGCTTCCTCAAATACAGGTGCAAATCTTCTCCTTTGCCCTATCTCAAATACATCTAGGGGCTGCCCATTGCCTGCCAATAAATGTTGTGTTTCATGGTCTGACAAGGACCTCTGCCCCAGAGAACCATCTGCTTCCTCATCAGGCTCTCCTCTTCCAGGTTCTGATCTGATCTTCCTGGGTGCTTACCATTTCCCAAACACACTGTGGAGGATTTTCTTTATTAAAGCATAGATGTCTATATGCATGTGTATTTGTATGCATAAGAATATATATACACACATGAATGTATGAATAAGTATACGATCTTTTTAAATCAATTAAAAGAAAAATATATAAGATCAGGGTCACATGATCACTGTAGATATAGAAAATTAAGAGTAAGTCAAACATGTTAGGAATTTTAAGTAAAGATAAACCATAGAAGAAGTTAATCTCATTGCTATTGTGAATGGGCAGCTTATGTTTTCATTTACTCGGTGATGGCATGCTCTCACTTTTGATGAACAATTAGAATTAATTTATGGGTTATGTATTTTCCTCTTTCAAACAAATTTCAGAGTCCCAACACATAATAATAACTAGGCCATTTAGAGTTTGTAAAAATTAATAATGAACTTCTCAAATATTGAAATCATAGCAAGAAACATGTAATATATAAACAAGTTCTCAGGGTAGTAGTTCCATAATTGTTGTCTCTGAATCAGAAGCATCAGTTATCTAGAAACTCATCAGAAATACAAATTCTCGGTCTTCATGCTCAGACCTACTGGATCAGAAGCACAACCTCTAGGTGGTTCTTATGCACAGTAAGGCTTGAGAATCACTGTCTTTAGGTGGTAACTGAATTTAGGAGAGGTCGTGCTTATGCCAAAGGATATTTGTTTTTGTTCATTAACAGATGAAGAAATGTTGAGCTTGCCTTGGGTTCAGTATTTTATTTATTCCAATGTTATTCAAAATGGTATGAAAGAAACTTGGGTTTTCATACATTTCATTACAGTATTTTAATAAAATTATTTTTGCTGACTGGTCTTTCCCCCTCTCATCTTTCCTCTTTGTATTTCCACATGGCAGACGAGTTGGATTTTATGTTAATACTTTCAAAAACGTCTCTAGCCTTGAAGCCAAGTTTCATAAGGAAATTGCGGTGGTGAGTCATGATGATTATTTTTGCATATGGAATATAAAGTAAAGGAAGGTGTATTTTGGAAGCAAATGAAATGGCATAAAGAATTCAGCCTTTTGCATGTTTATTTAGCAATGTGTTGTTACCATCAGTAACATTTCTACATTTTTTCATGGTGAAACTGGATCCCTATCCAGTTTTGTACTTTTTGAAGATTTTACCACAGTTTTATGGCGTTGTTTCTTTTATTAGACAGTTTATAAAGTTGGAATTCTAAGTGGTATTTTAGGCCAATGAAAAATTGGTCTCAAAATATTTAGGTAATTAACAACTCTGTTGTTGATTGATTTTTTTTTAGTTCAAAAGGGTGGGGTCAATGTAAACAATAAGCTTTTGTTTTCTGCTCTGTACTCTGGTTAATAATATATATGTATATATATATATGTGTGTGTGTGTGTGTGTATATATATATATATATATATATATATACTTGTGTTAAGTTTGTTTCAGTTTTGACATAGATTTAAAATTTGAACCATATACAGAATTTCAGTTATCCTGAGGCCATCCAAACCACCATAAAATTTATAGTTTCTCAATAAGCAATTTCTTTCTTGGGGAAAATAGACTGAATTGGTACCAGGATGACATGTGGCTAACAGACAAGTGGCCTCTGTCCCTTTAGCTTTGCCACAAACTGTATGAAGTGATGACAAAACTGGGTGACCAGCATGCCGACAAGGCCTTCACTATCCAAGGAGCGCCCAGGTAGGCCCCTGCTCATCAGAGCACGCATAATCTACTGCTTGTTAAAATTTCTGCAATCTGTGAACCAGCCTGTGCTATTTTATTCATCCTACAAAAGCCTCACAGGAGCCTTTTCACCCTAGAAGCTGACACTAATCTTATTTCTGTGCTTCTACATTTACTTCTGGCCCAACTAGGATTCTTCTTGTCACAACAGCATTGACTCTCTGCCTCTCTTTGCTTTTCCTGAGGTCTGATAGCAACAGTATGAAATTTTAGTATATAATGTGTATGTTTGTTATAATACATAATTTGCTATGTACTTATTATTTTTTCTGGAGAAGAAAGGAATTCCCAAAGTTTATGACAGTTTGTCCTGATTTTTATCATTGATGCTGGCATCTTTTATGAATCTATTTTGGGAAAGGAAAGAGGAAGTATGTGAGATCTCACCTCCTGACTTTTGATCTGGTGAATGCTGTGGTGTTTTTGTTTTATTGCGCATTGCTGTTATGAGTATGCCAGTCGAACTCTCTGGATCCCCAACGATCCATAGGTGAACTGGCTACCTTGGCAGGATTTGGGTGCATACCAGCTTTCTCTGGTGATTTGGGAAACCTTTTTATTTCATTTTTCGCAGACTTTATGTACTCAGAGAATGCAGGCTAGTGAGCTGGGAGTCAGAAGACCCAGCTTTTGGTTTTCTGATTCTGCAGTTAACTTTCTTTGCCTTCCTTGAGTAAGTCCACAACCTCTCTGATTAAAGGTCTCATTTTTTTAAATTCAATAGAATAAAAAGATACTTTTGAACTACATGGTTTCCGAGGTAATATGCAGTCCTGACATTCTATATTTGCCATTTTACTACAAACACTTATTTGCATACATTTATGAAAACACACATAGTCATGCACATGAACCAACTTCTACATATGTTAATGCTCGGATCCCTCTAGAGATTGCTAATTTTCTTATTTCCTGCTCTTTGGATTAGCCCTACTTATAGGTTCTGCTATTGTTTCTATACTCTGTGATCAGTAGGTATATCTTCTCTTTCTAAGAGTAAGAATATTGCCTGAAAGAGTACACAAGAGAGGCAGAGTTACTGTTTTCAGCATGGTTATTGCATTATGGGGCTAGGCACAAAGGAAGAATTGGAATAGGAATGTCAAAATGACATTTGAGTATTTTAAAAATGAAGTGCATGAAAAAATTAAGGGTTGTTCCATTACGTTGAAATGAAAGGGACAAAGTCATCTGAAAATTTCAATGTTGCTAAAGCAGATAAAGTGAAGAAAAAGCAGGGGTGTGACCACTTAATGAATGTTCCTTTCATTTTTTTCGACATTCCTCTGCAGAATGAGGTGGTGAGTGAGCTCAGTGGTGTCTCTATTAAGCTTAGATTGGGGCTATGTTTCTGTCTGAGGCCATGATTGCTGGCACATGACCCCAATCATGTGGCGTGTCTGTGTTCTCACTAAAGGACCCAGTTCCCTCAGCTGCTGTATATGTAGATGTGCTCTTTTACATTGGGGTACGACTCTGTTTATTTGAGCTGTAGACTTTAGAAATTCTTAGAGAGTAGGATGTGTCCCGAATGCTTCTAGTCATCACATTTGGGCTGTTCCCGAGCATCTGTCCACCTGCCGGGAACATGGTGGGTTCTTGGTAAACAAAACTGAATCTTGTCCGATTTTTTTTTTTTTTTGCACATTTCAGAGTGTCTGAGTTGAGTATTTATAAGGTCTAGAAAAAGAAACAATTAGTGAATTTATTTCCAAGTGTTAGCAGAAAGTACTTCTGCAAAATCCTTGCTAACACTATCTTAAGGCTGCCTTTTAACATAAAAGTTACAATTTTCAGAGTAGATATTTTTATAGATTGTGACATGGCAAGATTCTCTTGTAAATAGAAAGTGAAACTAGTAAATTCAATTCAGCTTATGTTTGGAAGATTCTTGCAGAGCTTGTTTGAAAGAACAGAGGTCTTGCATTATTAAGACCTGAATTCAGATTCATTAAATTGCTGGGTGATTTTAGGGTTTTAATTTTTAACCTCTCTATGCCCTTCTTTACAACTTGTAAAGTGGGGACAATAAAACATGGCTACTATGAAGAGGAGATAATATATGAATGAGGTCTGTGTAGTGCAGATAAATGGTCCCAGTTATCACCATCACTGTTGCGATTAACCAGAAGTAACCTGGAAGGGGAGAGCAGAATGACAGATTGTACCTGTTAGGGTTCAGGATTCCTCTGAGATGGAAAACCGTTGATCAGATGAGTACTGTTCTTCAGAAGGTCCCTTGATTAATCCCCTTTGTTCCTCTAGTGACTCGGGTCCTCTCCGCATTGCAAAGACGCCATCACCGCCTGAGGAGGCTTCACCACTCCCGAGCCCGACAGCAAGTCCAAATCATACATTGGCACCTGCGTCTCCTGCACCAGTACGGCCTCGGTCACCTTCACAGGTAGGAGGAGGTCAAATATATTGGGGGATAGAGCTCATGGTGAGGTGGCCCCATTTCGGTTGCTCCCACAGTACCAGGGCTTTAAAAGAAGTTTCCAGTTAGGAAGACTGAGGTGTGAGGCTTTAGGCATTGTGATTTTCATGAAAGCATCCACCTGCTTTTCTTATTTGACTTTTGATATTTCCTCCCATGCGCTATATTCAAGTCTTTTGGGATTTCTTACCACATTCTCAGCATGCTCAGAATTGCATGTTCTCTATTCTCCCATCTCTTGATACCAAACCCTTTTCTTTCAATGCTCCTTTTAAATCCTACCTCTGCATGAAACTTTCCCTTGCCTAGTGATTTAGAGTTGGCAAGTACTGCCAAGAAAAGCAGTTATGTTTATATGTCATTTCACATTTTTTGGTACATCTGGACATTTTTTTGGTACACACACTTGCATGTGAGCAGCCACTTAAAAAAACTATATTGAACAAATAATTGAAAATAAACAAATAAGGGCTGGGCAAAGGTTACTGTAGAGAAAAACTGCCACCTTTATTCTCCCTGTGTTGGGTGAAAATGAAATTTCTGTAGAAAAATGTAAAGCCCCCAGTCCAGTTCAAGCTTCCTTATACAGATGCCGCTTGCATTAAAAAGGGATTGGATCCTGATACCCATCATAAGTAGAAAATACTATAAGTTAAAATGCATTAAATACACCTAACCTATTGAGCATCGTGGCTTAGCCCAGCCTACCTTAAATGTGCTGAAAACACTTACCTTAGCCTAAAGTTAGACAAAGTTATCTAACACAAAGCCTATTTTATAATCGTGTTGAATATCTTGTGAAATTTACTGATTATAGTACACCATAGAACATGATATCAGTCGTTCACCCTCGTGATCACAGGGCTAACTGGGAACTGCGGTTCACTGCCACTGTCCCACCTTAAGAGAGAGTGTCTTCACACTTTCTGTTGAATGCCTATTGCTTTTACACTTTCCTGAAGTCCAAAAAAATCATAGGTTGAACCATCATAAGTCGAGGACCATCTGTATATAGTTGAACTAAGGAAAGTCTTGGGAAGATACATGTATTAAACAGAGTTTTACATTTTTTTACTTTTCAAAATCCTTGAATGGAAAGTGAACTGTAACTGCCTATAGTTGGTCTCACCAATTCAAATGAAAAGCTTTAGTTTTGAAATTTTAATTTGTCTCTGAAATGAGAAATTATTTTCAGTTTAGTTCCGATGAGGGTATTGGTCTAGTTTAACCTTAAAAGTATAGGTATCTGGCCCTGCAGCTGTGTGTATTGTACTTAAATTGAGATGAATGGACTCTTATAGCCTCAGTTTTTTTTCGCTTGAACCATGGCTTATCAGGGCTCAGAGAGCCTCCCAAGTAGACAGCATTCTTTACCTGACTCAGGCAGGCTTGCTGCTATACGCAGATGTAAGTTTCAATCAGAGCTCAATCTGTACACCTAGCATGTTCTCTTCATGTCTGACACGTCATCTTTGACTGAATTAATGTTTGTATTTAATGCTTTCTAGACAAGGAAAGGGCCTCCTGTCCCACCCCTACCTAAAGTCACCCCTACGAAGGAACTGCAGCAGGAGAATATCATCAGTTTCTTTGAGGACAACTTTGTTCCAGAAATCAGTGTGACGACACCTTCCCAGGTAAGTAAGTGCCTGGTTCAAGGCTGTGATGTCCATGAAACTCATGTTGGAAAGACTCTCAGGGGTTAGCCCTAAAGAAAGTGGCAGGTGCCAGAACCAACAATATAATTTTAATTGTCATTCGGGCTTATTTTAATTACTTGGTTAGTCTGAAGCATTCTTAAATGGGAGATGTATGGTATTTGAAAATTGTCGGTTTTTTTTTTTTTTTTTTTTTGTTTTGTTTAAGGGTAGTATAGACTCATAGAAAATTGGGAAAATATTGAAAAGTATAAAATGAATATTTTATTTTTAAATTTTTTATTTTTAAAAATTATATTGATAGCAAATATTTTACATATTTATGGGGTACATGTATTTGTTGCATGCGTAGGATGTGGAATGATTGAGTCAGGGTATTTGGGGCATCCATCACCTTGAGCATTTATCATTTCTGTGCATTGGTAACATTTCAAGTCATCTCTTCTAGCTACTTTGAAATACATAATACACTGTTGCTGACCATAGTCACCCTGATCTGCTGTTGAATATTGGGGCTTGTTTTTTCAATCTAACTGTATGTTTGCATCCACTAACCAACCTCTCTTTATCTCTTCCTTCCACCCATACATTCTTCTCAGCCTCTGTTGTCTATTATTCTATCTATCTCCATGAGATTGATTTTTTTTTTTTTTTTTTTTTTTGAGATAGAGTCTCACTCTGTCGCCGGGCACCAGACTGGAGTGCAGTGGCACAATCTCAGCTCACTGCAACCTCCGCCTCCTGGGTTCAAGCAATTCTCCTGCCTCAGCCTCCCGAGTAGCTGGGACTACAGGCACACACCACCACTCCCAGCTAATTTTTGTATTTTTAGTAGAGATGGGGTTTCACCATGTTAACCAGGATGGTCTCGATCTCTTGACCTCGTGATCCGCCCACCTCGGCCTCCCAAAGTGCTGGGATTACAGGCTTGAGCCACCATGCCCGGCCAAGATTGATTTTTTTTTAAAGCTCCCATATTAGTAAGAATATGAGGTACTGTCTTTCTGTGCCTGGCTTATTTCAATTAACATAATGACCTCCAGTTCCATGCATGTTATTGCAAGTGATATTATTTCATTCTTTCTTGGTTCAATAGTATTCCATTGTGTGTATATACCACATTTTCTATATCCATTTGTCCATCAGTGGACACTTAGGCTGATTCTCTAGCTTTACTGTTATGAATAGTGCTGTGATAAACATACAAGTGCAGATACTCCTTTGATATACACATTTCTTTTCTTTTGAATAAATACCTAATAATGGGATTGCTGGATCTTATGGTAGTTCTGTTTTTAGTTTTTTGAGGAATCTCCCTACTGTTTTCCATAAAGTTGTACCAATTCTATTCCCACAACATTGTATAAGAGTTTCCTTTTCTCCACATCCTGGCCAGCATCTGTTATGTTTTGTTCTTTTAATGATAGCCATTCTAACTGCAGTACGATTACATCTCAATTTGGTTTGCTTTTGCATTTCCCTGATGCTTAGTGATGCTGAGCACGTTTTTGTATACCTGTTGGCCATTTGTATGTCTTCTTTTGAGAAGCGTCTATTTATGTCCTTAGCCCACTTTTTCATGGAATTGTTTTTTTAATTATTGAGCTCTTTGTATATTCTAAATAATATTCCCTTGTTGAATGAATAGTCTGCAAATATTTTCTCCCATTCAACAGGTTGTTTCTTCACCGTATTTATTGCTTCCTTTGTGTGCAGATGCCATTCAGTTTAATAAAGCCTCATTTTTTCTATTATTATTATAGTTTTCTGTGGTTTTGAGGTCTTCCTCATGCAATATTCCTTTAAGTGATGTCTTGAGATGTTTCCCTATGTTCTTTTCTAGTTGTTTTATAGTTTTGGGCTTAATATTTAAGTCTTTAATCCATCTTGAGTTGGTTTTTATATATCAAGAGAGATAGAGATCCAGTTTCATTTTTCTGCATATGGATATCCAATTTCCCCAGCACTATTTATTGAAGAAGATTTCCTTTCTGCAGTATATGTTCTTGATTCTTTTATTGAAAACTATTTGGCTGTTAAAATGTGGATTTATTACTGGGCTCTGTATTTTGTTCCATTGGTCTGTGTGTCTGTTTTTATACCAATGTTATGCTGTTTTGTTTACTATAGACTTGTAATATGTTTATAAGTCAGGTAATGTGATGCCTCCAGCTTTGTTTCTAAGCTCAGAATTGATTTGGCTATTTGGGCTCTTTTTTGGTTCCATGCAAATTTTATGATTGTTTTTTCTAGTTCTACTGAAAATGTTGTTGGTATTTTGGTAGGCATTGTATTGGGCATTATGGTTATTTTTACCATATGAATATTTCTGATCCTTGTCCTTTTCATTTTCTTTCATCAGTATTTCGTAGTTTTCCTCATACAGATCTTTCACTTCCATCATTAAATTTGTTTGTAGGTATGTTATTTTGTTGTAGCTGTTGTAAATGGGATTGCCTTATTGATTTCTTTCCCTTCTAGCTCTTTGTTGGTATACAGAAATGCTCCTGATTTTTGTATGTTAACTTTTTTATATATCCAGCAACTTTACTGAACTTATTTATCAAATTTAGGCATTTTTTGGGGGGATTCTTTAGTTTTTTTCTATCTATAAGAACATACTATCAGTGAAGAGGGGCAGTATGGCTTGTTCTTAGCCAATGTGAATGCCTTTTATTTCTTTATCTTGCCTGATTGCTCTGGCTAAGACTTCCAGTACTATATTGAATGGCAGTTGTAAAAAATGGGCATCCTTATCTTGTTCATAGAAGAAAGACTTCAGCTTTTCCCCCATGCACTATGATGTTACCTGTGCTTTTGTCATATATGGCCTTTGTTACTTTGAGGTCATCTCCTTCTGTTCCAAGTTGGTTGAGAGTTTTCATCATGAAGTTATGTTGAATTTCATCAAATGCTTTTTCTATATATATGGAGATAATCATGTAGATTTCTGCTTAGTTCTGTTGATGTGATTTATTCAGTTTATTGTTTTGCGTAAGTTAAACTATCCTTATAACCCCGATATAAATCCCACTTGGTCATGGTGTTTCATCTGTTTGATGTGCTGTTGGATTTGGTTTGCTAGTATTTTGTTAATGATTTTTGCATTTATGTTTATTATGAATATTTGCCTAAGTTTTCTTTTCATTGTGTTTTTGTTTGGTTTTGGTATCAGGGTAGTGCTGGCCTTGTAGAATGAGTTAGGGAGAGTTCTCTGCTCTTCAATTTTTTTTTTTTTTTTTTTGGAATAGTTTCAGGAGGATTGGTATTGATAAGTTTGGGCTGTGAATTCGACCAGTTCTGGGCTTCTGTTTGTTGGGAGACTGCTTTATTTTTATTTTATTGTAGATTCAGGGGGCATATGTAGAGTTTTGTAACATAGAGATATTGCATGATGCTGAGGTTTGAGCATCTAATGATCTTATCACTCAGATAGTGAACATAGTCCCCAGTAGGTAGCATTTTACCTTTGCCCACCTCCATCCCTCCATCCCCCAATCTTTTTGTGAGTCCAAACACACAAATGAGGAAGAGAGATGACTCAAATGGTACTACTACAATATACTACCAAACCACAATGACATATATATGTGACATACACACACACACACACACACACACACACAGACACAAATGATCAGAAAACAATTAACATTATGACAGTAACAAAACCTGGCATATCAGTAATAGCCTTGGAAGAAAACAGATTAAAGAGAAACTGACTAAATAAATGCTTTTCTCTTACAGTTCTTAGTATTCTCTCTTTTATATTTACTTTAATACATAGTTAGACTGTAATATACCATTGAGAAGATCTTTTTGCATTGTATTTGTTTAAGGATATTTGGGCCTCCAATATCTGGATGGCTAGGTCTATTGCTAGACTTGGGATGTTTTCAATCTAATACTTCATTAAATAGGTTTTCTAGCCCATTTGTTCTCTTTTGGCCCTCGAGGACACTAATAATTCAAATATTTCATTGCATTATATTGTCCCAAATGTCCAGAAGGCTTTGTCTGTTCTTTTTTGTTTATTTTTGTCTCACTGGATTATTTCAAAGACCTGTCTACAAGTCCTGAGATGCCTTCTTCTGTGTGATCTAGTCTATAGTTGAAGCTCTCAAATATGTTTTGCATTTTGGTCAATAAATTCTTCAGTTCCAGAGTTTCTATTTGGTTCTTTTAAAAAATATCTATCTCTTTGGTAAATTTCTTATTCATATCCTAAAATGGTTTTCTGATTTCTTTGTTTCTCAAAATTCTCTTGTATCTCACTAAGCCTCTTTAAAAACAACATTTTGAATTCTTTATCTTGTTTCTTTGGAAGTATCATATTTCCTTGTTGTTTTATGTTTCTGTTTCCTTGTGTTGATATCTATGCATCTGGTATAACTTCCAGTTTCCAACATCCAATCTGGTTGCTTCTTCCAATTCTTTGAAATTGGTTTTTGTAGGGGAGAGCTTTTCCCTGAAGATGTATATATGTTGTTGGCTGAGTCGGACATTTTGGCTTTGATTTTGGCCACATGTAGTAGTGTGATCTTTTTGTGATTTAATTGACTGTAAATAGTGTCAGTTGTAATTGTGATTTCCTCAGTGGCTTTGGGTGCCTTTGCTAGTGGTGGGGGACAGGGTAAAGTTTTGCTGAGAACAAGAATGCTGATTTGACCAGTCTTTGGGCCCCAATGGTGGCAGTGATGGGCTGAGTGTGCTTGTCCTTGGCCTAGTGTGGGTTACACTAGCTCCAGTGTTAGTGAGTCCAGACAGGGTGATTCTTAGGCTCCAGGTGGCTTGCTCAGATATTGGTAGTGGCAGCAGTGGGATGAGTGTGTGGTCAGGTTCTCAAGCCTCTGGGCAGCTGATGTGATGTGGGTGATGTCAGTAGCAGTGGTGGAGTAACCCACTGGAACCCAAGTGGTCCACTCTGGTGTTGGTGGTAGCTGTAACAGGGTGGATGTGCCAGTTCATTGGGCTGCTGG